ATCCTTCAACTATCTCAAACTAAAAAATTCGTGGACAATGAGGCATTTCAAACCGAATTATTGAAACAACTTAATGATACAAATATCAATGATTTTTCTAGAATGGCAAATGAATACTGGTCCAATCTAAAGGAATGTCTCCGAAAATCAGCCACTTCCACGCTAGGGCATACTAGTAGGAAGTGCGCTAGTTGGGTATCGGAAGCAACTGTCCAATTGTCTGAAAAAGCTGCCAAAGCATGAATGTTAAGTGATCCTGACTACCGGGTACTTCGAAGATTTGCAACGAAAGCAGCACGACGGAACAGAAATCACTATTGGAGTGACATGGCCTCAAGAATGGAGACGGCAGCTCGATAAGGTGACTATAACAGGAAACTATTCCACCTTTTTCATAAAGCAACTATAACTTCGAGAATAATTAGTGAAATGGTAAAGGATAACAAAGGCGTGCCAGTTAAGATTATTAAGGATCGTTTCATATGATAGAAGGAATTCTTTGAAGCCAAACTTAACCAAGATACTTCATCTATTGACCCCATCATAGCTGATACGTCGAACTACGTTTGCATCGCTAATAAAAGAAATAATCTCTATTATTCATAAGCTTGAGGTCAATAAAACTCCCAGAGATGGTCTGAACTCTTCAAATGTTGTCCATCGTTCTTCAAATCTTATAGGCTTTCGATTCAATTGATAGAGCAATCTTTTGGAGGATGATAGGGAATTGAGGGTGATGGTGTTTTAGAAAAGATCATTCGACTCACTTGTCGGCACGGCTTTGATCTGTATATAGGGAATTGACAAATTCCTTAGAAGCAATATTCAATATAGTATGCGAAAGACTGGATAATGGACATCGCTTGTCGGCACTGAAGAGATATACAAAATCAGTCCAGAGTCTAGAAACATAGATTTTGAATACGCTGATAATGTAATCTTTTTTGCTGACAGTTATAGTGAAATGCAAATAATGCTTCGCTGCAATGCGTCGACAATTGCAGCGAAGATCAGGCTCAGAGTCAATGTAAATAAGACTAAAGACTTTTCGTCTTATGTGCAAAAGGCTGATAAAATGCCTCATTTTATCAGTTCATTGCCGGTTGAGGAAGTGCTGGACTTTAAATACCTTGGATCTACTCTAACCCCAAATGGCCAGGCAAAGGATGAAATCGCAACCCAGATAACGGCAGCTAGAATAATTTTTTCCGGTTGACGAAATCTTTATGAGTCGTCACGAGATCACCATAAAAACGAAAGTCCGCATTTATCTAGCTGTGGTTCTTTCGATCTTGCTATATGGTTCTGAGACATGGCCAATGAAAGTGGAGGATATAAAGAAATTATCTGCCTTTGACAACTCGTGTCTAAGGCAGTGTACTACATTTTACGCCGGGTGAATAAAATCTCATATGATCGCACCCACCTTCATTTAAATGCCACTTGCATGCCACAATAGGGCCATCACAGGGCGTCGCCTTCGCTGGTTAGGACACGTTCTTCTTTGCCCACCACAGAAGTTGACGCATATTTCGTTATTTGCTAAACCCTGCAATGGATGGTGTAAAAAGATAGATCAATCAAGACCTGAATCAGAAAAGAGTGTACCAGCAATATATGATAGAAAAACGATAGAAAAAATGGCTTCTATCACTGTCAACAATGGCGTCACATCGTGCAACTTGAAAACGTCTTACCCTTGTAGTGGAGCCAGCCTAAGCAATAATGGTGAGAGTTGTTAGAACAGGTTACGAAGAAGAAAAAAATATCCTCTTTAATCTATAAAGAATACTTAAGAATATTTTGAAGAAAAAAATACATCTTCATTTCAATTTTTATTTAGCTTAGCATCCATATTTTAAAAAAAGATTCAAAATTATAGAAACGCAGAGCTCCAAGAAAAAGTGCTATCTGCTAAATCTATAGTTTTAAAAAGTATTTTTATTTTCTTCTCCGGTAGAATTATAATTCGAAATGGCTATAAAATTTGTAGTAAATATCTTGAAACTGAAACTGATTTTGCATCCTTGGATAGAATCTTAGAAATTTAATTTTTAAACCCTTATTACCAAGCCCTTATTTTCTAGAATTTATTGAATGGTTAATTAGTCTTCTTTGCAACAGAAGAAATTATTTTAGCAAAAAAATTAAGCCAGTAAAATTATTTTTAAATTTTATGTATCGTTTTGAAATTGACAAAGAATGGCAGAAACTATTTTTATTCTCATTTTGGAACGGCTCGATTAGCTCAGTGGGTTGTTGCTTTTATTTCAAAAGGATTGGAATTCTGCCTTAGCCGAAGTAAAAAATCCAAAAATTCGAGTGGTACTGTCGATTTATATTTCTATCAGCAAATACCAAATCCCTGGCAAGGTGTCGAAAAACCAGTGGAGCGAGCCTAGCGTTCTTTAAAAGAAATTTGAAATTGAGGAACTTATTTTCAGTTTTTAAAATTATCAATTTTACCAATTTCTTTCTAAGCACTTTTTCGAAGTCAAGCAAGCAAGTCATTTTTTGAAATTTCTTTTTTTATCAGCGGTGTAAGAAAATCTTTAATTATTCATCGATTCCTTAAAATCTGGATTTGGAGGAACAAATTATCGCAGATGAAAATCGAAGAAATATATCTTATTTATTTGCTAAATTACAATGTGTCATCAATACATAAATCTAATGAGCTTTAAAGAGAGAAGAAAACTTTGGGACTATCTTGTTATGGTGCATGATATGGTGCATGATTCTGTGGATCTCAGATCTGGATCTGATTTTTACAAAATATATCAATATTTTCTTTGGTTATAAAACAGTCTATCCACTCGAATTTTCTGGTATACGAAGCCATTTTTCCTAGGTCTTTGTCCTCCTTTTTAGGTCAAGGATTTTTTTCTGAATCTGGATATTTATGATATTTCGTGAATATGCAGGCAATATTTTTTCGTCCTATGAATTTTTTCATAATAAATTCGCTAATGAAATAATTAATCAGAATCGAAAGCATATAGATTTTTATAATAAAAAAATTAAAAGTTTCAAGTAAAATAATCCTAGAAATGGTTCTCATTTTACAAATGGTTCTCATCTTACATCACAGTTGAAGCGGCTGTTTATGCAACATTATTAATGTGATCCAGCTGCATCGTTACCTAAAAATCGTTTTCCTAAAATTTATTTTCTTATTTTTTTCGAGAATTTTATTTGGCTTTCAGTAATCTGCGCACTTTAAATCACCAAACGCATTATATGTTTACGCCCCAATTCGATTAAATTCACAAAATAGAAATTTCTTCACTGATTTACTTGTAGAGTCTCTTTAAAAAAGCGATAATTCAATATATGTTAGATTGGTTTGTTTTTAGCTCAAGTGTGTTCAAAGTTCATCTTTTTTCGTTGGATCTATTGTTTTACACTTTTTTTCCTAAATTTGAAGTTTAAATTGTCAAATTCAAGTTTTCGAATAAGCTGAAACGAATGCTTTTTCGAAATTGAAAATTATTTACCTTTTTTTGATTTTCAAGAAGAAATCTAAAAGTAATTTATGAATTACTAAAATATTCCTATTGCTGATCGAATAATGTATTTAATGATGGATTATGCTAAAGCACTTCACTTTTATTTTAAAACCAATTGCATCAAGACATTTTCTGAAATTGGCAGTTCAAGATTCCACTACAATATATGTATGCAGAGATTACTGCATGACGCTTCAAGTAAGATCTCAAATTAAGACAAAGCTTTTAGGCTAACGCTATCTAAATCCGCTTGGTGCTAGGAGTCCAACTTCTGTTGACAAGTAATTTTATGTCTTTCAACGAAGAAAAGCCATAAACTAAATTGGCCTCGTCTATGAACCTAAATTTCATCGATTTTGTTGAATCTATTCAAATAATTTATGCTTTGAACAACATATACATATTTTTTTCAAAAATTTCAATTTGCCATCAAAAATTTCAAAAAAATTCACATTTTTAGGTCTGAATGCTTCTTTTTAAATTGCGCCATGTTTTGTAATTATTTGTAACTATAACTAACAGTTGTTTGCCTAAGTAAGAACTATGTTCATGTGAGAAAATATTCCCTTCATTAAACTGTGTAATGAATTGAAAAAGAATTGGTTTATCGATTGCAAAGTGATCGATTCAGTATTGGTTTTTTCGATAGATTTAAGGTGAACTTTGACGATGTTTAATGAGAATGGCAAGAGAATATCACATTGTCACATATCATATTACATTTAGCGAAATGATGAATTTATTAACGAAGTAATATGTCTTTGTCCATCTATTCACCGCAGTATGTCTATTTATAAGAAATTTCTTCTATATGAATATGTTCAGATGCCAAAACGAAGAACTCACTGATCATCGTTAGGGGAAAAATTGATGAGTGTTTATAGTCAAATCTTTTTAAGCCTATGAAGCAATTATTATTATTTATCGTAATATGAACAAGAAATACAAAGGTTGGTTTTATTAATTATAGAATTAATTAATAGAATTGACTAATGTCAAACAACCAAAGGCTGATTATTATCCTTTAATGGAAGCAGGTCTATCATTAAAAGTGAAATCGCACAGCGCAAAGATAGCCTTAGGTTGAGATTTGTGAAATTTTTATGAAGTTTTTTTTAAATAAAGAGCTCGTGCTGGAATATACATCATTAAAAGCTTAATTGCTTAAGATTATTGCAGAGAAAAATGCCTTGCACAATTCAACACTTTTTATCAGTTGCTTATGTAATATTGCTGATAAGGCTGACCAGGTTAATTTTATTTTGAAGGATTTCCGAATAATATTTAGGCATGGATAGTTTAGTTCATTATATTCAAAGTCATCCTCTCTCAGAAATCTTAAGAAAACAATTCAAAAAACATGTGCCAGTTAAAACCGTACCTAAACAAAGGTTCAAAAACAAAGATTCAAAGGTTCAAACTTCTAATTTGTAATAAATCCGACCAAGTTCTGTGTACCAAGTACAGTACTTTTTTTAAAAGCAATTTTTAATGATTTACTTTAGATGTTTTTATGGAACGAGGAAAGTGACGACAACATTTGGTGTGCTTCGTGGTGACTCAGTTAATCCGGGCATCGATGAGTTGCCACCAGTATCACAATTTCTTGGAGTACCATATGGAGTAGCACCACTTGGACTGGTATGTTAAATGCTTTCCAAAAAGCTTTTCTGTGCTATTCTGCACCTTTTGTTTTTCTTATTTCTATCAATGTCATTCTAGTATCGCTTCAATATGGCTATTTCTGCAGCGAAATGGACACATTTGCCTAAAAATGCAAGCAATTTGTCACCAGTTTGTATGCAATCTGGAATTCCTGAAATAGCTGAAGCAAAGTTAGAAGTTATCTAACTCATTTGACGACAATTTTTTCCCATATTCGTTATTTTTTCTAATATATTGCTTGTCAATTTGAAACCCACTCATCTCAAATTACCGTTTTATATTCGTTACGCTAGCTAATTTAATGAAAATTAAAAATTCATTTTTAGAGCTTTGACTGCCACTTCTGCACAGCGCTATGATCATTTACATCGATTATTGATGAAGTTAAGACCTCAATCAGAAGATTGCCTTTATATGAATTTATTCGTACCTGAGCGAATTGGTTAGTGCTGTTCTAATATATATATATATATATATATAGTTTGGTATATAAGTGCAGAGTCATCAAGTGATGGCTGAAAAAAATTTCAGAATCAAAAAATAACCGCTTACCGGTACTTGTAATTGTGCATGGTGATGAATACGGTTGGAATAGTGGAAATCACTATAATGGCACTACATTAGCTTCCTTCGGACAAATTATTGTGGTTACACTTAATTATCGACTTGGAGTCTTTGGTGCATCCTTTTTTAATCGTTAAACCTTCTATATTTCCAGATTCCATTTCGAAATCATTAAAAGGATCTAAAAAATAGTTTAGATAGCCTTTAACTGCAATAAAAGGCCACTGAAATAAAAAATTACTTAAGAAATCCTTACTGATATTAAAAAATTTCAAGTTATTATGAAAAATTTTGAGAAATTAGTAGGTAAATTAGCATTTGCAAATTTGTGCTTGCATATGGATACTATTCTTTTTAGGTTTTTTGGGCCGATGTGAATCCGATAGTTGTTCTGGTAATGCAGGATTATCTGATATAGTCGCTGCACTAAAAATGTTAAGCAATACACTACCAGCTTTCGGTGGTGATCCTTCGCTAATAACGATATTAGGATGGGGTTCAGGGGCATCACTTGTAAGTTTCCACATTGTTAGAAGCCATTGATATGGTCAGTAATTTGCCAATATCCACTAGTTTTGGATAAAAAGTGCATGTAGGTATCGCTTTTAATGGCATCACCAATCACTCAACCAAATAATCGGCTTTTTCGACGAGCAATTTTATTGGATGGTTCAGCACTTGCACCTTGGGCTATAAACAAAAATCCACAGCCAATATTTCTTCAATTGGCGGAACATCTTAAAGTAATCGTTCTAAAAAAAGCGAATGAATTTTAAAAATACGTATTGACGGTGTAATTATATAATTACATAATTATTATATAATTATATATAATTTTTGTTTTGTAATATTATACATTTTTTAAAAGATAAGAAAAAGTAAAAGTAATAAAAGTAATTTTAACTAACTGTGAACATATTGTTTAGTGTTTTGACCCAGTCGCAAATAGTAGACGTTCAATAAAAGAGCGCAAAAGTGTGGATCAAGTATTGAGATGTGTTCAAGAGCAAAGTGCTGAAAATGTTACCTTCGCTTCTCGAAAAATATTGCAGCCAACATTCCTTTCCGTTTTTGCGCCAATTATCGATGGACAGGTTTTTTTCATTCATATTGACCTAATTTTTTTTCTATTAAAAGATGTTCTTTTTTAAGGTGATACCGAATAAGCCAGAAATTTTATTCGGAGCTCAATTTGGCACCCTTTTTCGGAATATTGATCTTCTGGTTGGAATGTCATCTAATCCAGCTCATTATCTTATTCCTAATGATGATTTGAAAAATGGTGTTGATAAGGAAAAGCGTCTAAAAATATTTCGGTAAATTCTTTTCGAGTAAAAATAAATAAACGATTAGCACTTACCATTTCTAGATTAGCCTCACATTTTGTTCGTGTGGTTTGAAATTAATTGAAACCAGTCCTTTTCCCATCGTCAAAATCCATACCGCTGGTTCATCTAGGCGCTTGAGATCCTTTCTGATCAAATCTCATATCCATATCTTAATTGGGTCTTCACGTTTTTCGCACCATCCATCACAAGGTTTCGATCTCACTGGTCTTTTGGCAGCCGTAAAGAAGAATTGTATATACGACAGTCAGATATATATAAATCTTTCATCTTGTCATTATGGCGATTCCATAAAAGTTTACACTAAAAAGAAGAAAAAAACTGTAGTAGACTGGAGTCTCATCCTTTGTCTAGCCAGTGAGTGTGAGAGCAACTGAGATCCGATAATTCTTGAACCACTGAAGAATTCATATAGATTGGTGATTTATTATGGACCCATAAGATGAAAATAGATTCACCTTATTTACACTGATATCAGTATTAATTTATTCTGCTATTATCAGCATCCTATTATCATCTAATTAATGTATGTTATAATTCTGCGTCTATATGTGAACATCGTTATTAGAGGCCTATGCAGTGGATTATGTATCTCTTATGTGCTAACTGATTCTGTTCATAACTTAGTCTATTCCATAGTTGAAAATTGTAGGAAAAAGAATACAACCATGGCACATGCATGTTTGCATAAAATTTTGCGAGTTCAGAATCGCGCTGATCCACGCTTAAAAGCGCTTTGCCCAGAAGGCCATCCTATTTATACAATCGAAAACGAAGTCAATGATGGTAGCTACTGAAATTTGAAGCGATGTTCCAATATTCTTCTCAATGTGACGATTTGATTATGCCTTGAAGCCAGCTTTATTAGGGTGCGTTGCGTCATCAATCTAGTCAGGAGAAGATCGAGACAAAATTCTCCACGGATATATCCGACATGTCCTCAGATCATGTTCTATCAATTAATCCTTTCTTCTTTTGATTGGGAGCAGAATTGCTTTACTCCACTCATATGGTAGCTGTTCATTATTTCATACCAGTGGGTATAACTTTTGCAGGAAATTTATAAAAGATGCTGAGCAGCATTTAATGAATTCAGCTCACAGACCACATTCTCCAAGTATTTTATTGGTCTATACTTTTTGAATTACAAAGTGCTCGGTTGATAGCTAATTCACAGTTGCAATTATTTGCAGTTCCAAAAGTACTCCAATAATTCGCAGTTTTAGATGAGCCAACGCAATTAAATTTGTTGTCAAAGAAATCTTTCCATCAGAAAAGACGATCTTCGTTTCTTAATCATGGTTTTTTTTCAAGATAAGAATTTCTATTCTTTTCTTGGATTATTTCACTGACCATTTCTTAAATCACTGCTTTGCGAAGTAGGCAAAGAGTTTTCAATTGTTGCTTATTCGAGCTACAGTTTCCAAATTCAGGACTATATCATCCCAGTGCTGGTTTTTCCTGCAGCCATTGCAAGTACGTAGGACCTCTGGTAGTTTACTCCTACGCATGCGCTCGGATAGCCTGTTTTGATGTTTCGTCAGAAATCTTAAATTCAACTTAGGACCAATACTCATTCCAGAGATGTTGCAGTTTTTAAGGTTCTTCGATTTCTCTGATTGAGATGTTCCCAATCTTTCTTTTTATCATAGAATAATCAATAAATTTTAACAATAAACAACAACTTTATTTTTTGAATCATATTTCACATACGTTATCACTTCAAAGTTCGAATAAATATTTGTAAAAAATTGTTTTTTCCTAAAAATGCCTTATTATATCGAATTGCAGCACACTAGTTCGGAATCTCTATGAATATCATCGAAAAGAAATTCTAGCTGCGATGATCAATGAATATACAGACTGGGATAATCCAAAAGTTGAAATTTTTTAACTTATAACAGAGAGAGTTATAAATTACACAGAAATGAGGTAATAGTTCATAAATAATTCATTGTTCCAGGAACATCCTAAGGCAATGCGAAATGGAGTATTAAGTGCCCTCAGTGATGTCCTTTTCACCGTTCCTACAATTGAAACAGCTCGTTACCATTCGTTAGATGAAACAAAACACATTTCCAATACTTTTATGTTAAATTTTGTTACCCTTTTCTTTCTATTGCATTTACAGTGAAAAATTAACTTAAAATTAACTAACTTAAAACAACTGCAATTAGTAAAAAAGTTCACATTTAGAAGCAATTTAGATTCATTTTATGTCAAACAGAAATATCAGAAATATAAAATTTAAGAGTTCAATAAACTTGGTATTAACCGTCAAAATATAAAGATAAAGATTTATGCTATCATTTCATTTGGTTTAGGTTTGTTTTTGCTCATGAAACAAAGCATTTGATGAACGAAGTACCGAACAGCGGAATTCGAGGTTCTCTTTCTGGCGATCACATTCCATACATACTTGGATATCCACTGAATACTGGCAAAAATGCTGCTGACCTAGTTAGTGAATAATATTGATAAAAGGAAAAATAAGTCCAGTGTTTAGCTTAATTTATTAATGTGCACCAGGCTAATTCATAAATTTATGGGAATCCATTTTTATTTCATCAGCAGCTAATGCTAAATATTAGTCGATTGAAAAATTAAAAAAATTGTGGAATCGGTATGGAAACCTTTGAATTTTTTCTTTTTCTAACTTTTAGCATTTTTGGTTTTACTAACCTCATTGGCAACTAATTTTCACCAAAGAATCATTCGAGGATAAATTAACAAGTGAGTGATGAGGCAGATAAACTTGATTGTTAATTAAACAACCTTTAGCTATACTACGGTTTCAATCCTGAAGATCGGGAGATTTCTCGAGTTATGATGCACTATGTCTCCAATTTTGTCAAATCTGGGTAACTTTTCTACTTATTCAATTTCAATAATTCAGCTCTGAAGTACAATATCTGGTCAAAAATTTGAAATGCTCTGACATGTCGGATAAATAATTCAATCAGCATTTCATATCCTTTGTTTTAGAAATGTTTCACTCCTCCGATTCCCTTTTTGAAAACATCCGAGAAAATTTTCAGTGATTTTAGATTAGATTAGATTTGAATTAGATTTTTCAGTGATCCTTCTAAACCTATCCCTCTTTCCACTGAAACAAAAGTTGCGGAACGCTTCTATAGTACAGCATGGCCACAATTTAATCAAGCAACAAGAGAAGCATATTTGGAAATCAGCAAGTTTTTGTTATTGTTTGCTATTCAGATATTTAGATAAGAAATATCTGAGACGACTACTTTACATATAAAAATTGTCATGAATTTTCCATGTAGATTTTTTGTATCAATCCCAAATTCAACTCCATTATCGTGTATGTTGTTTAGACAAGGGGTGACATCACAGATCCGATGCCTCTTGAAGTACCAGTAAATCTATTTCATTATTGCCACAATGCTTTCATTGTTAAAAATTCAGCTAATCGTCCCCTCGTTAAAAACTACTATCGAAATGCGCAGGTTGGATTTTGGTATGGTTTCATTCCGCAACTACATTCAACTGGCAAGAATGATCTTCTAATACCAGAGGTATTGTAACTCGATTTATTAATATATGCTTCATAAAGAAAAATTTTATGCTTAGATTTTTAAAAAAATTAGTTATTTTATGTCATTAATCTAAGATCTATCTATATTTTTTCTTTGTAGGAGCACAATTTTCTACCGAATCATTTCAAAAAAGAAACTTTTTTTGGTGTTGTAAGACCTTATGCTAGTTATGCCAATGATCCGTTTCCACCACCTCCACCACCTCCAACACCAATTCCGGAAAGTTTACAGAAATTAACGACTTGTAATATTTTTACTTTTTATTGAAAAAATATGGCTTATCAGGGTTATTTTTCTTTAAGATTCAAGGAAGGAATTTATTCATTTTAAGAACAAATTTATATTTTGGAAATCCGAGCAGTTTATTGATTATTGCAATTAAGTTATATTTTGAAAAAAAAGTTGAGAAGTTGAAAAAAATTTGTTCTAAATTTCTCAGCGTCGTTTGAGAACAAAAATATATAAATAAGGGCGTAAATTTTTGTTTCGCTATTATATTATATTAATTTAAATTACCTAGTAAATTGTAAAATCAACCTTGAAAATTAATTTGAACATTTGAATATGGAAAAAATATTCAGCAATCTCACCATCGCCGACCGAGAGTCAAATAGTGCAAACATCGCAAACTCCAGTACTGGCTGCACAAAATAGTACTATATTATCTGTGACGGTCGCTGTAGGGTGTGGACTTCTTTTTCTCAATATATGTATTGGCTATGGGCTTTATAGGCAGGTCTATAGTCTATCTTTGTTATTTTCATTTTATTAAATAAATGCACATTAGTTTTTCTGTTCATCTGCGTATCAGCATGGTTTTAGTGCAATAAGCGTGATAAATCGAAAAAAAAGATGCAATTGCAGTTCCAAACATATGCAATGAATCGTGAACCAGTTTCTGATATCAATTATAACTTGAATAACACGCTCAATCACCAGGTAAATTCACTTTCAATGGCTGCTATGAACTAAATTTGATCCAAATTTTTGGTTAAGATTGGATTTAATTTGGCTCAAACTGCCACTGCATGATAAAATTTGATTAGATATGGATTGTTTTATAATAGTAATTAATACTATCAGTTAATTTAGAATTAAAAAAACTTTAATTTGCATCTATTTTTGCATCTAATGATCTATTAAAAAGTTAAAAATATGATAAATATTTGCCAAAATAAGAAGTAATGGACGGTTAATGTTAATTCTTTTATCATCCTAATGGCAGAATTAAATACTCATAATATATTGTGATAATTTCTATGGTATCCTTGCTTTCCGCGCTTTTAAAATTGCTTCCATTTGATACTTTATCCGTTAACCATTTATCTCACCATTAATGGAACAAAAAGCAAAAAAAATTTCAGTTACTCGCGGCTATACCGACGCCATCTCTTCCACCACTTAGTCACAATCCGTCTAACTTTAATTCTCCAGTCGGATGTGGTCTCCCACAAAATTCGCAGATTGCAGATGTGGATCAGTATAAAAATCCGTATAAAAATTATTCGATTGCTCACACCAATGTTAATACGCTAAATCGATCCAGTATTCAAGAGCAGGTTCTTACGTTTAGATTCCTCGGTTAATTTTCATTTGTAAAGTCGTTGGTGATAGAAATAAAGTGGAACAATCGATGGATGATTCGATCTGACCAACTTGTATATTATCTTTTCTTATCGAATATGAGCGTTTTGAAAAAAACCTTACAAAAAAGTTGTTTTTAAAAAATTTTTTTAAAATTTCTAATTTAAAATTTAAAATTTTTTAAAAATTTTATTTGAATAATTCTCTTTTATAAAACAAACTCCACCTGTTTAATTAATTTACACGCCATTTATAGCTTTTTTATGAATACATTTCATATATAGTTTAAATATGCAGCAATGGTTCATTTTTAACAATATTCTCAGAAATATGGTAACCAACATTAAAGGCTATGATGAATTTTTTTTTTTCCCAGGAGCCGTTGCTATCATCTAATAAAGCATTGATTGGATCTTTACGACCTGGAATCAGTCCAACTTGCCCAAAACATGGCCGAGCTGCTATAGCAATTGCACGCGGCCGGGTGAATTCAGTTGGAAGTATCGGAATGCCAAACGTCGGGCTTACTTTAGAAGAAATTCAAGTATAGTCAAAATGTTATATAGTTTTTCTTTTGATATATGTTACTTGGCTGCTTCCTTGATTGGTTCCATTTTTAAAAAGTAGATTTTACGTTTCTTGATTTTATAGCAATTTGCTTCTTTGAATGATAATTAGCTTTCTTTGTTGTTTTTATGCAATTTCCTTTTAAAAATGATTCAGTATATTAAACATTTAATTTAATTTTATTTTCTATAAATTTTTATAAATAAATTAGATGATCACAGCTTTATAGTGGGCAGGTAACCGATAGTTTATCGTGCTGAGAAGCAGGAATTCGGTTTTTTCTCCTCCTCCCATGAATAAACCAGCTAGAAATTCATTTGGCGAATTTCTTATACATTAACAGCTAGTAGAGCAAGCTTACCAGAAACAACGGGCATCTTATGCTTGTAGCCTAAGCCTGAACGGTTTGTTAAATGGTATGGTAGCTTTCTCAAAGTCAAGCATCATGGATTCTGAGGATTCTTGAAGGATTTTTGCTTTGAAACCAATGAAATTATTCAGATGGTGAGATGATGAGCGCTGATAGAGAAAATAAGTCAGCATAAGCCTACTGATAAATGAAAGAATTGAAGAATCTGTTAAAGTTTAACATTTAAAAATCCAATCCAAGTTTTAATATCGCTGATTTTCTGGAAATATTTCATTTTAAGGTTTTATATATTTTCCACATTTTTTCATATTCTAGGCACAAAAAGGAATTTCCGCTCTTAAATATTATCGATCATTTGATCATTTTATTATATTATTTCAGCTGGATCATTTTTTTTTAAAAATATTTACAACTCTTTCCTGGAATGTTTGTATTAACTGACGTATTTTAAAACTTATTTATTTAAGGCAGACATAAGTCGACATCTTCTTAGACATACTATAACTTTTAGTGAAGAAATTGAATTTAATTAAATCTATTGCACTTTTATGGAACAAATTAATTGGCTATATATGTTCACTTTCATTTTTGCCAGAAATCTTACAGTAATTCTTGTTTCCTATCAAGTAATTCATTTATATTCGCCATTTTTCCAATTTTAGCCATTTCTTTCAAAATTTTTTTTGAATATTTTGACAAAAGCCTCTCGGAAGAATTGACCAATTAAATATAATTCATAATGACAGCTTTTTTGGCCTTTTGTTTTTTAAAGCCTAATTTATATTAGGCATTTTGTTTAGACATTTTAATAAATCCAAACAATTATAACAATATTTTTCAATGGAACCTGGAATAAAGAGTAGAAAAAAGATAAAAATTTTGAATAAATTGAATAAATGAATAAAAATTTTTCTCAAATGCCAGCACAAAGAATTATTGGTTGATAAAATTATACCATGTATCCGGATCACTTGGAACTTTATGTAGTTAAATTAGTAAAAGAAAAAATATTATATTTTAGTAAGTTGGTCCAAATGGTACTTTTTATTAATGGATTTCAAAATTTATAAACCTGTGCATTCACTAACATTTCGTTAATTTTTGGGTTTTAGAAGAAAAAATCAAAATGAGAAAATAAAAAAAAGCAGATGATAACTTAATACCAGTAGATAGTAAAACGAGAACGGTTGCTGTTATCCAACAATCAAAAGGCCATATTCTTTTGACCAAATGCAAGAAAAATTTAAATTTTTAAATTCTAAGTGAAAAAACTGTATAAAAAAGTGATATTGAATAACGGATAATTTATATATTACATTATCGCCGAATGGTGAAGAAAGCTGCAAATATGAGTAGGTCATCTGCCTGCTATCCATCTCTTTCCAAGCAAGAGAATTAGGAAGAAAAGAGTTGGAAAAGATTTTAGAAAGTATCACGGAATAATAGTAGTGAGAGATATAATATAACTCTTATTTTGAGAGAATAAAATCTTTCCGCCCACCTCAAATTAAATATAAAAAATCATTTTTGGCCATTTTAGGCTTCTTTTGGGAAAAGGGATGGGAGGTGATAGGTGAACTGGGCATTTAAATATTTTTTTATGTTCGGTTTTACGTACTATATTATTTTTCTTTGTAATAGGGCAACTATTTCGTTTTGCTTTCTTTGTATTCATTTGCATCGTTACTTATAAAAGGTTCAATTACCCAAGTTTGAGGATGATCCGAATATTCGCAGTGAGATAATTATATTTTATTTATTTTATTGAAAACCAGCCAAACAGGGCGCAAACGCCATGTATAAATAACAATAGTTAAAATAACAAATAATAAGAATTAATGATAAAAACAAAAAATAATAAAATAAAATAAGCGATTTAAAGATGAAAGAAAGAAGAAATTACAAAATGATATAATATAGTACAATTCGAAATAGCTATAATCTGATGGTAAAAATCGCGATTTCACATTTTCCTGCATGATCTGAACTTTTTAAATAATATCATAAATGATATTATCTATTCTTTTTTAGGGATGGCGCACAAGCTATATCTTTCAGTAGTTTATTCCAGCAATTAATATTACGAATAAGGAAATCATGAGTCCTTAGTTTAGTTTTACACATAGGTTCTAATAATTTTAGCCCATTAGTTCTTGTTGGATTTAAATTTAATTTAAATAGAATTGATATGAAAAACACTACATTTTTGAAAGGAAAGGGTAATTTGCCTATCATATAGCCAGTTGGCTATTCTGTTGAGATTCTCCTGCAGCGGAGATAAGCTATCTGACTTACCATTAGAATAAAATCATCAGCATAAAAATAAATAGTAAAATTTAGTACCACATTGGTGATATCATTTATATATAATAGAAAAAGCAATGGAGCAATACAACTACCTTGGGGAACAGCAGATTTAACAGGTTTTGTGCCAGAAAGACTTGCTGACCGTCTTTTATGTAATCTGACACCCAATTATACAGGTCTCCTGCAATGCCATAACTATTAAAGGTGATCAGGGAAACAGCATCAAAAGCTTTAGCCAAATCTAAGTACACAACTGATAACATAACATACTGTTTTTCCATTGTCAATTGGTGCTGATCAATCGAAAAAATTTGCCAATGTTTGTGAAGAAGTAGATTTTTTCGTACAAAAGCCATGCTGATAAGAGGATATAAAATTATTGGCATCAAGATAAATAACCAATTTATTGTAAGTCAACCTTTCGAGTATCTTGCTGCCAACGCATGTTAGGCTAATAGGTTTATAATTAGAAGGATCATAGGTGCTTCCTTTTTTATGAATGGGAATCATATGAGACAACTTCCAAATTTTGGGATTAAGGTCAGATTTCATAATGTCCTTATAAATTAAAAATGAGGGAAGACTCAGTGAAATTGCACATTTTTTATAAATTATTTGTGGAATATTATCGGGGCCAGCTGAAATGAACGGCTTAAGTCTATTTGAGGCATCATAAACATCCAGTAATGTTATTTCAACTTTACCGAGAGAAGTGCAACAAATTCGATTTTCAAACAAGAAGTATGAGTATTATCCTCAACAACAAATACACTGGAAAAATATTGATTAAATATACTTGCAATATCAATATCAGATGTGACCACATTATCATTGTATTGCAGAATTAATTGCTTACGTGAATTTGAAAATTTTCTTTTGATATAGGTCTAAAAAGAATTTCTATTAATATTTAATATTTAAAATTTGCTCTTCTTTACTTGAAAAGTAATTATAAAGAGAACGCTGGCCGAAGAACTTATAATATTGTTGATAAATAAAAATTCCACGTGGCAGAAAATTTGTTAAATCTATACAGAAAGCATAATGGAGCGGATTCCCGAGGGAGTTTTAAATATTTTAATTAAGTTAAATATTGTAAATAAAATGGAGTTAGGATTTGCTACATCGAAATTCGTGTTGCTATTTCTGTACTATCGCAGAATTTTTTCTAGCCTTCTTTAATTTTTCATAAAATGATAATCTAATATGAGCAAAAAAAGTTAGCGTATGTCCAAATTTATTGAAATTCTTCAAATTGAAAATTTTTTTAAAATTTATTAAAATTTAGTACAAATAGTGGAAATGCAATCAAATGCATTTTATTTTTCTTACATATTTATCATTGTTTTTCTTTCATGAAAATATTGTTAATAATTTCAATATTTATGATGCATTTATGTGTTTAAAGAATAAAGATGTTTGGTAATGGGAAGGGAATAAGAAGAAAAAATGGAAAAACGTTTATGATTATATCCGGTTTGCCAATTGATAAAAATTCCTGATAAAAATTTATCACCGCATTAAGAGGTGGAACCTAATCGTATATTTACTTATGGTTATGTTTTATTGTTGAAAAACTCTAAAGGAAATTCTGTTAAAGATAATTTGGTCTATTCGTCCCATTTACTCTTGATATAATTCCCAAAGAAGAAAAAAAATAATAAACAAATGAAAAAGTAAAAGAGAGGAAAAAAAATATAGAGTTGTCATAGGTATAACAAGGAATTTCAAAATTTGTTGGTTAATTAGTGGTTAGAATATGTTAGCAAGTGGTTAACCATTTCTGATCGTTCTACTGGCTGACAATATGGCGGGAACTTTTAAGCGAAAACTATGGTGATAGAATGGTAAGGAGGCGACTATCATCGTCGAAATATCTTGAGCCATAATAGAAGAGTTGATAAATTATTCTGTTGAAAATTAATGTTTCTATCTTCCTTCGAACAAATTTAGCACTAAAAAATCAGGGTGGTGCTAGCGATTCATCTATATTTCTATCACCAAGTGGTTTCGTGGAAAAAATTTCTAATCGTGCCGATTCCGGAGTTAGGTTGAGCAGGGCATTGCTAGCCATTTACTTTTATACGGATTTCTCAACCCCAGTTTTCCCACTAGTTGGTCGTTTTTTATCGTCATAACCTTCTCAATGAGATGAATTTAACCAGTTTCGCTGTTATTAAATGGCATACAAGCATTTCAATGTGAAAATAAAAATAAATTGTTTTTCGTTTAAATTGAGAATTCCACAAGATTTATGCGATTTGTGCAATCGTGCAGTTAATCAAAATAAGCCGATTTAGAAAAAG